GCTGTTACAGACAGACTAACCGGCTACCCATCTTGATCTATCTCCACCGGTTAAAACTAGCGAGTCCCAATTCCCAGACAAGCAGCGGGGAAAGTGGAGGGGCTTGTGAGGTCACTTCCTGTTGTGCCTGTCCCCACCACCACCCCGTGGGAATGTGGCTTTTGTCTTTCCCACGGTAGCGTCTGTCTCATCCCGGTCGCGCTTGGTGAGTTAAAATCGCATTGGGATGCCGGGGAGCACCAAGACGGCCGGGAGGGAGGGAGGGAGGGAGGGAAGACTCCCGGCTGCGGATGGAGGCAAAAAGCAGAAGCCGATGGAGGGGGGAGAGGGCTGAGACGGGAGACGCCCCCCCCTTCTCCCCAAAGGGAGGATGACTGTGCAGCGGATCCATCTGGGGTCCCTCTAAAACACCCCCATCCTGGAGTTTCCTCCTTTCTGAAAAGCCGGGAGGCCCCTTTTGCAATAAATTCCAGATGTTGTCAGTGTGTAGGAGAAGAGTGCTGCCTGAAATTTTTAGCTGGGTATTTCTCTCCCTCCACCTTCATATGACTTCGTTTGCTGGCTGTATGATGCTGTCTTGGTCTCATTTTTCCTTTAATTGTGAAATCCTGGCTATTGCATGCATGATGCTGTTTGATCAAGATGGGTGTCCGTGTTAGTCTGTCTGTAGCAGCTGAAAAGAGCGAGAGTCCAGGAGGCACCTTAAAGACTATGCTACAATAAGGTTTGTAAGTCTTAAAGGTGCTACTGGGCCATTTACTATTTAATAAAAGACAGGTTTTGTCTCTTTCATAGGCACTGGAAGGACACTGATACTTTATTCTAGAACTTCTCATTGTGGTGGAATGGAAACCACCTTGGTGCAGCGAGATCAGGTAAAGGAGAAGGGCTGGGGACTGACCCAGGGGCTTCTGTCCCCCGCACTACTCCCTGGGCCCAAACAGATGTGTCTCTATTAGGGGATAGTTTGAATGCTTCTGCCAAAGAACTCCCTTGGCCGCCTCACATTGCTTCCCTGATGATCTCCAAGGAGAAAATTTCCCCTTCTTCTTCCAGGGTCTGGTGACCTTTGAGGATGTGGCTGTGTATTTCTCAGAGGAGGAGTGGGCTCTGCTGGATCCGGGCCAAAGGGCTCTGCACCAAGAAGTCATGGAGGAGAACTGCAGCAATCTGGCCTCTCTGGGTATGTCTTGGTGGATAAATATGGACAGGAGGCAGGGGTCATTTCCTGCAGGAGCGCACAGGAGCAGAGCTCCGGCAGTAAAGAGCCCAGGGGGTGGGCACATGCAACAAGCCCCACCCCCTGCTCCCAGCAGCCCTCAGTCAGAGCAAGAAGCAGCCAGGTAAGTTGCCCCCGCCCCCCGGTCCAAAACAGTCCAGTGGCATCTTTAAGACCAAGTGTTATTCAGGTACAAGCTCTCCCTCCTCTGTGAGTACAGATCTGCACGTCCCCCCCCAGCTAGCAATACACAACAGTCCAGTGGAGCCTGAGCGGTGGGTGTTGCCTTCTGACACACTTCCTGTGATGTCAGAGTGTGTGTCATATGCAAATAAGTTATGCTAATGAGCTCCTGCACCTCTTTTTCTACGAAATGACCCCTGGCAGGAGGAATTGCTTTTGACATTGGTCAGTATCAATGCATTGCATGGAATTCACTGAAAATGACAGTGGCTGGATTCAGTACCTTAAACGCTCCATTCAGCTATCATTTTGTGAGCGTCATTAGTCACTATTCCCTTAGAAACCTTGGATGCAGTTCATCTGGCCCTGTGGAGTAGTTTCATTTAAATAAACTAGATGTTTATGTACTACCCCTGTGCCGATCCTAGGCTGCAGCTCCCTTTCCTCGTCATGTGTTCTGTTTTTGCCATGTTGAGCACCACAATAACAGAATGTGGGCCTTGGGTATAAAAGCCACACAAGTATGTGGCCAATAACTAGGGAATGAGGTAAACTGACAGAGACCAGTATGGTTTTTCTCTTTACAAATGACTGAAGATTATTTAAAATAAACCCTAACTCAGATAAATATATCGAGTGAATATAGAGAACAGGGAGCGCAATATTTAAACAGTATATGCTAGAAGGGGGGGGGGACTTTCCCAGGAGCCTTTTCACTCTGCTACTCTTGTGCTAAGGAGCTGCGGTGGCTCAAGTGGTTACGATGCTGAACTGCAGGCTGTGGAAGGTCAGTAGTTCAGCAGTTCGAGACCCGAGTGTGCCGCATGAGGGAGTGAGCTCCCATCTCTAGTTCCAGCTCCTGCCAACCTAGCAGTTCGAAAGCAAGAAATTGCAAGTAGATAAATAGGGACCACTTCGGTGGGAAGGTCACAGCGTTCCGTGCGCCTTGGTGTTTAGTCATGCTGGCCACATGACCACGGAAATGTCTTCGGACAGCGCTGGCTCATCGGCTTTAAAAGGGAGATGAGCACCGCAACCCTAGAGTCGGACTCGACTGGCTTTCAAGCAAGGGAACCTTTACCTTTTACTTTACTCTTGTGCTAAAATATTGCACTGAATCGACAGCACCCGACTGTTATGCTATAACCCTCTCCACTGCAGGACAGTTTCAAATCCCCACCCCCCAAAAAAGAGTTCCAACATGTTTTCCCTTTATGAGGCTGTTCAAGCAGAGTGGTGTGGAATCCCTGAACATCTGTAATTAATTTATTTATTGGCATTTATATCCTGCCCATCTCATAAACGGGCTCAGGGCGGGTCACAGCGTGTCGATAAAATTTAAAACACATTGAAACATATAAAAACAGTAGTCATGCTTGCCATAGGGAGAACCCGGCCCATTGATGTAACTAAGTATGGCCGGTTATCAGTGGGTGGGAGACCGCAACCTTGAGGGGGGGGGCATATGTGGACTCCTGCTGCCTCAGCCAAAAGCCTGGCGGAAGAGCTCCGTCTTGCAGGCCCTGCGGAACTGCATAAGATCTCGCAGGGCCCTGATCTCAATAGGGAGCATGTTCCACCAGGTGGGGGCCAGGGCAGAAAAAGCCCTGGCCCTGGTCGAGGCTAGGTGGACATCCTTTGGGCCAGGGATCGCCAGGAGATGTTGACTCTCAGAGCGTAACGCTGTCCGAGGCGTGTATGGGAAGAGGTATGTTGGAAGAAGCAGAACCCTTAGGTATGTTGGAAGAAGCAGAAAACATTGGTGCATTTTTTTCTTTCTTTCACAGCTGGACTCCTGTTTCCCAAAGCTAGCCTCACCGGCTGGCTGGAAGACGTAAACTATCCATTTACCCAGGGCTCTGAGAGAGGAGAGAGACTGTCAGGTAGCTGCTCAGTTATGTAACAGGGCTTTTTCGGTAGCGGCTCCTACCTGGTGAAATGAGCTCCCAGAGGAGATCCGGGCCCTGTGGGACCTTGTACAGTTCCGCAGGGCCTGTAAGGCGGAGCTCTTCCGCTAGGCGTTTGAGTAGGAGGCGTCACGACTGTTACCATCTGTCAATGACTCTTATTATCTGTCCTAGCCCTTCATTACCAACTCGCCATGAGCGCTAAAATGGTGGTACTGCGTAGAACTGTGGCCACTAAAGATACCATCCTGATGACGTTATCTGTTCCCTTGTTAGATATTATGGAGAGCACTTATGTTGTATTGAATGTTTTTAAAATGCAGGTTTAATGTTTTATGTATTGGGCATTGACCCCATCTGTACACCGCCCTGAGCCCGCTTGCGGGGAGGGCGGGTTATAAATTTAAATAAATAAATAAATGTTATTTTCATATACCATTTTGTGAGGCCTCACAGTACATGCTAATTCTATGGAAATATCACCCAATTGATGTTTGAAATCAGGCCCGTAGCCAGGATTTTGTAGCTTGTGGGGCCAAAAATTTTCTGGTGGGGCTGCCATTATGTTTATGTCAGCTCCAATTCATCCCCAAGCCTGACTGCCGTGGGCCACCCCTCTCCCTCCCCTCCCGAAAGATTTAAAGGGCCCTTCGGCTGATCGACGGGGAGCATGTGACCTGCCGATCAGCTGGAGGGCCCTTTAAATCTTGCAGGAGGGAGGGAGAGGGGTGCAAGCCATCCCCTGCTTCTTCTCAAAAGCATTTAAAGGAGAAGCGGAGGCCCCGTGCACATGACCCCTGCCCCCCTCCCCAATTCGTCTCAAAAAATCTTCTCAGAAAATGTTGTGGGGCTGGCCCTTTAAGGAAGGGGGTGGAACCCCCAATAGCCCCACTGTAGCTACGAGCCAGTTTGAAATATTTCTTGGAATCCCTGAATGAGGGGCAACTTTCATTGTTCATAATTCTGGGGAAGGACAGAGATTGGCTGGTAGCTGTTCAGTTGTATGTCGGGAAACTGATTTTGTACACCAGGCTGTGAGATTCCTGGCAGAAATTAGTTGACCTAAATTTCACCCACTTTGTGCTGGAAAGATTTCTCAGAATACTTGGGGGGGGGGGTGTCTTTCATCTAGTAAAGAGAGTACATAATAATATCCACGTGTATCATGGATTGTCTATGCAGTGCTGGGCTTTCCTGAATATAATAATATGTACATCAATCCATCTTGCTCAATATTGTCTTCTTGCACTGGAAATGGCTCTTGAAGACCTTAGCTGGAGTCTTCCAAACACTTATTCTTGAGATCTTCTAGCAGGAGATCCAAGGATTGAAGTTGAGACTTCATGCGTGGCGATCCAACATGCTACACTACATTGGTATCAAAATGTGAAGAATTTTCTGTTATTCATAATAGGAATTAAGAAGATTTGTTCTCTGATCCAAGGATCCACTTCTCTCTCATCAGGTTTCTCTTTGCTATTTCTGCAGGTGGTATGAAGGAATGGAAGAAAAAGGGTGAAGAGCAGAAAAAGAAAACTGAAGCAAATGAGTGCATTCAGAAATTAATTTCTTCTTATGGTGCAGACTTCCATGAGATTCCAGTAAAGGAACGCCGCAGTAGTAGAAATAAGGTCCCTCTGTCAGCTGTTAGCCTGCATGCAGAAATTCACAAAGGGGAGAAATGCGCTGATCATGGAGATAGCTTCAGTCAGACCCCAAGTTTTAATTCCCATCAAAGAATAGACATGGAGGAGAAACCATATAATTGCTCAGAGTGTGGAAAGAGCTTCAATGTGATTTCGAATCTAATTTCCCATCAAAGAACCCACACAGGGGAGAAACCATATAGATGCTCAGAGTGTGAAAAGAGCTTCAGTCACAGCACAGGCCTTGCTTATCATCAAAGAATCCACGCAGGTGAGAAACCATACAAATGCTTGGAGTGTGGACAGACTTTCAGCATGAGCTCCAGCCTTACTTCCCATCAAAGAATCCACACAGGAGAGAAACCTTATAAATGTTCGGCATGTGGGCAGAGCTTCAGTCACAGCTCAAGCCTTGCTTACCATCAAAGAATCCACACAGGGGAGAAGCCATATACATGTTCGGAGTGTGGGAAAAGTTTCAGTCACACCTCAGGACTTGCTTACCATCAAAGAATCCACACAGGTGAGAAACCATACAAATGCTTGGAGTGCGGACAGAGCTTCAGTGTGAGCTCAAGCCTTGTTTCTCATCGAAGGATCCACACAGGAGAGAAACCTTATAAATGCTCACTATGTGAACAGAGCTTCAGTCACAGTTCAAGCCTTGCTTACCATGTAAGAATCCATACAGGGGCAAAACCTTATAAATGTTCAGAGTGTGGAAAGAGCTTTAGCCATAGCTCAGGCCTCACTTATCATCAAAGAATTCACAATGGGGAGAGGCCATATAAATGCTTGGAGTGTGGAAAGGGCTTCAGTGTGAGCTCAAGTCTTACTGCCCACCAGCGAATCCACACAGGAGAAAGACCGTATGAATGCTCAGAGTGTGGAAAGTGTTTTAGTAGTAGGACAGGATCTATCAGACATCAAAGAATCCACACAGGAGAGAAACCATATAAATGCATGGAATGTGGAAGAAGCTTCAGTGTGAGTGTAAACCTTACTTCCCATCAAAGAATTCATACAGGAGAGAAACCATATAAATGTTCAGAGTGTGGAAAGTGTTTCCCTGACCACTCACGTCTTGGTGTGCATCAAAGAATACATACCGGGGAGAAACCATATAAATGCATGGAATGTGGAAGAAGCTTCAGTGTGAGTGTAAACCTTACTTCCCATCAAAGAATTCATACAGGAGAGAAACCATATCAATGTTTAGAATGTGGAAAGAGTTTCACTCAGAGCACAAACCTTACAAGGCATCAAAGAATCCATTTTGGTTAGAAGCCATTTAATTGCTTAACAGTTGGAAAGATCTTCAGTGGTCACACTGATTCTTATCTTAGTACCTAATATTAGCCAGTTGGAACAAAATGTTCCATATGGTAGATTTAAATATTGCAAGTGCTTTGCAGGACATGTGGACTAAAACGTTTAAATCTATGTATGCATTCCTTAAGAATTCCCCTGTGATCTATGTGTTATTTATTTACCTGATTCTGACAACAGACCTGAGCTGATCGTTATTCTAATGACTGATTGTTATTCTAATGACTGTTCTAATCTGGGAGAATCGGGTTTGATTCCCCACTCCTCCACTTGCACCTGCTGGATGACCTTGGGCAAGCCATAGTTCTGGCACAGCTGTTCTTGAAAAAGAGCAGTTTCTGTCAGAGCTCTCTCAGCCCCACCTACATCACATAGGGTGTCTGTTGTGGGGAGGGGAAGGGAAAGGAGTTTGTAAGCTGCTCTGAGACTCCTTTGGGTAGTGAAGGGCGGGGTATAAATCCAATCTCTTCTATATACTGCCACGTCAGTGACAAACATCTGTCTGCCAGTGGTCAGTTGATGTTAACTCTTTTAATTTCTATTGACATAGGACTAGACATTGTCAGCAATATCTGTTGTTAAGGAATGGCTTACTAAGGACTTGGAATTAGCAGAACTGGAAAAGCTCATTGACAAAATCCATTGAGATAAATATTTTTTATTCCATTCTGCTGCGTGAAAGATTGTCTCTCATTTGTTGAATAGCCATGTAGACTTTATAATGATGAAAACAGATTTCTTTTTGTAATTAAGTTGGTCTGTAGAAATTTTTTGGCAAACCACCTCTGCTCCTCTTATGCTTTATATTTATTTATATTTATATTTTCAATTTGTGCCCCGCCCTCCCCGCGTGTGGATTCAGGGCGGCTTACACAGTTGGTACAGAAATACCAATAAAACACATAAAATCAAGTTAAAACAATTCAAATGATCATAAAGTGCTAGTGATCCTTCATTCGTTACTTAAGGTGGTGTGCTAAAAATATTTGCAAGCAGACAGTCCAAGCAGGCTGTCGATATAAATTCCAGAGGCAACAGGGCTTCGGTGGCGGCGGCTCCAAAAGCCTGGCGGAAGAGCTCCGTTTTACAGTTCCTGCGGAATTGTAAGAGATTCTGCAGGGCCCTGATCTCCTCTGGGAGCTCATTCCACCAGGATGGAGCCACCACCGAGAAGGCCCACGCCCTGGTTGTCACCAGCCTGGCCTCCTTGAGACTTGGGAGGGCCAGTCGGGTCTGGGCCCCTGAACGCAGTGCTCTCTGGGGAACGTGGGAAAGGTGGTCCCTCAGGTATGTAGGTCCCTGACCATAAAGGGCTTTAAAGGTAAGAACCAGCACCTTGAAACAAATTCAGTATGCTATCGGCAGCCAGTGCAGTGCCTTGAGCACAGGCTGGATGTGCTCCCATCAACAGCCTAGCCACAGCATTTTGCACCAGCAAAGCATTAAAGTTGTGAGCGAGCGATTTGGCTACTGTATAAATTAGTGTGCTCTGGAGCCCTCCTTCCTGAGTGAAGACAGAAATGTGAGCCGGAGGCTAAAAAACTGTGAGCTAGCTCACACTAACTCAGAGGGAACACTGAGGCCTTGTTTATCTGCCAGGAAGTAACCTGTGTTCTGCAGCCAGCACAAGCCCCCCTCCCCCAAAAAACTAGTTTCTTCCCTGTTTTGCATTCTGTCAGGCCTCCCCACAGCATCAATGAAGTACACTCTTGCATAAAGTTTTTACTTTATTTGAAGCTATAGCTGCATGTACAGGATCACTGTTAGGAATGAGGGGGGAGCAACGAGCATGGCAGGTTATAGTACATTCAAACAGCTGAGGCCCAATTGTGGGACTTCCCCCGTGTGCCATCGGGCCTGGGAGCAAACGCTTCTAGGCGGCATAACATATCTCCTTCCCACAGTTCTCCGTGAGATTACCCAAGCAACTATCCAGCAGCAACCACCTGTGGCCTTGAGAGATATAGACATTCCAGCAGCTAAGCAATTAAGCGCATCAACAGGTCTACATATGAAAGCAAAAGCAATCAAGCGCATACATGGGAAACCAACAGAAAAGAAATGCACTCATTTCCAATTTTTTTTTTGAAACATCACATAACCACCACATATGATAAAATGTGCCTATCTACATATGAAAGCAAAAGCAATCAAGCACATACATGGGAAAGCAACAGAAAATAAATTTGGCCGCATGCTGACACATTCTCAGAACCTTTATTCAGCCAAAGAAATTATGGCACTCTGATATTATTCTCACTGGCCGATAATTTGTCTCTCTTGAGTTTGTTGGGAAGGATGTAATTACAGATACCCTCAAAGCTGGGTGCAATAGTCTCGCTTCCCATCCAGCAAACAGCTGCTGTTCCATTTGACATACTGAGGCCAGACTCACTGCAGTAATGCATCCCCCACCGTCCACTGAGGCAGCTGGAATGGGGATGGCACATGCATTGCTGAAGGAGGAAGCCAAGTATGCAAAAACACTGAGGGAGGGCCCTGACCCCACCTCACCCCAATCCTGGGTCCTGGTCCACAGAGTGCTTTAAGAAAGGACTCGGCAAGGCAGAGGTCCCTCCTGTCATGCTTTAGCGACCACAATAATCAAGCCGACATTTTTCTTCAAAGGTTCCAGCTGGGAGACTGAAAAACCTGAAAGTGAAACGTGCCAGCTTGGAGGATAACAGCTGATGCAGTAATGTTACCAGTGGTCCTTGAAGAGCAAGTGGTAGAGCAAAATGTCATCTTGTTCAGAAATCCTCTTTAAACTGTTGTTATAGACCAAGACTTGCATGCAAACCGTTCCAACAAACAAAGGCAGTAAAAGTACAATCTTCTTCTTCTCCTTCTCCTTCTTCCTCATCTGTCTCTTCTTCTTCTTCACTAACTTGCTATCTTACACTTCTTTTTTGACAACACAGTCCAGAGATTCAAGAAAACTGTTTCAAAACAAACCACTATCACATACCCTGTGGTGGGACTCACATCCCACTTAGAGGAGGACCACGTCAAAAGTCCTCTGACCCGCGGCCGCAGCCAGGGTTTTGTAATTCGAGGGGCCTTTAAATAAGTTGGGGGCACTGACGTCACAATTTTTTAAAAAAAATTAAATAAAATTGTAAAAACTCACTTTTGCAGTGCTTGCAGTCTGCTTGCCTACACGGGGAAGCAAGCTGTGCTTGGGGAAGGGGCGGTGGTGGGGAGTCCTCCAGGTGGACCAGAGAGTTGGGGGACCTAGGAGCTGCACAGAAGTCAGGGGGCCTTGGCAGGAAGTCGGGGGGCCAGGCCCTGAAACGCCCCACTGTAGCTACAGGCCTGCTCTGACCCCCTGAAGAGAAGACCTTTTCACCCTGACTTGCAGGTATCGTTTGCATTGCTCCAGAAGGGGAATGGGGGGGGGGGGTCCGCTCTGCTTCTTGGAGGGATTCTACCTGTGAACTAATGGGAGTGTTAAGTCGCTCGCTTAGAAGTCAGAGAGTGATTCAGCAAGAACACAGCTTTATTCTTCAACTCGAACACAACTCCAACACAGATCAACATCTGATAGCCAGAACAGCTTTTACATTGCAGCTGTCCTGCTTTTAAACATTCCCGGCTAATGTAGCCACACCCACTGTACAAATACCAACCAATACGGTTGTTCACATGACCAATCATGGACGTTTCCAATCAGGGAGCTTGCTGTGAAATGATTGGCTTGTTACTTCCTGGGCTAGCGATACGATTGGATGTATTTGGATCCTAGCCCAGGATGAAGCTTAACATTGCTGTTCAATGAGATGTTTCACATACATTCTGCATTCCATGGCAGCTATGGAATACACTACAGGGAGAGAATTCGGATTCCTGGACGTAGTGTCCGCTTTCCCCCCCGCCCCGCCATCCTGGAAAGATCTGGAATTGCATTTGGGGTGAAGCCCTGCCCCTGGACTGCGGGGGTGTGTGTGTGTGGATTGGAGGGGGTATGCAAAGGCACCTCAACTTTTGAATGGAGGTGAAAGGCAGGCAGGCTGAGTTTGATTTTTGGGGAGGGGGATGGAAAAGGATATAATCCAGTCCCCCGCTAGTTGCGGCTCATCCAACCTCTGTTCTTTTCCTACTCCCAAATCAGGACTCCCACCCCACCTTTCTGCAAAGCCAGCACATCTCTGGGGATAGAACTCAACAATCTTTGCTTTGAATTTGGGTGGGGTGGATCTTGGGTGGGGGGGAGCAGTGTTCCCTCTAAGCTGAGTTAGTGTGAGCTAGCTCACAGTTTTTCAGCCTCCGGCTCACATTTTTGTCTTAGCTTAGGAAGGGATGGCTCCAGAGCAAGCTAATTTATGCAGGAGCCAAATTCCTTGCTCACAACTTTAATGCCAGTAGCTCACAAAGTATAATTTTTGCTCACAAGACTCCACAGTTTGGGGGGGGGGGGGTTGGGAAGAGTTGGATTTATACCCCACCCTTCACTTGGAGTCTCAGAGCAGCTTACAATCTCCTTCCCTTCCTCTCCCCACAACAGACACCCTGTGAGACTGGAGCCATGACCATACCTGAAAAACACCAAAGGTTTGCAGAAAAATCTGAAATTGAAGCGTGTGTGTGTGTGTGTGTGTGTACATGTAGTGTGCACAGACACACACACAGGTTAAAAAAAAAGGCAGTACCTGTACTGTTAAGAAACAAATGCCTTTAGTGGTCATTGCTAGGCAACCACACACCCTTCTAACCTTGGTTTCTATCAGTGGAGAGCCAGCTTGGTGTAGTGGTTAGGAGCGGCGGACTCTAATCTGGAGATTCCCCACTCCTCTATGTGAAGCCAGCTGGGTCACCTTGGGTCAGTCACAGTTCTCTCAGAACTCTCTCAGCTCAAAAATTAAGTTTTCCTCACCACCTAGTGGTACATAACACTAAAAGAGCTAGAACTCTCGGCTGCCAGACAATCTTAGGATCTCCTGGCTAGAACACACATTGCCATATGGTAATGATTGATTAATTATTATTCTGTCAGTAAAAGGCGGGAGAAGGGGGCAAGGCCCTTCCCAGGGCTGTTTCGGCCTTTGAGAGAGGACTCATCAAGGCCAGGCCTGACAGTAATCGCTGGGTGATTTGATACCACGCAACTTGCTTGACTTACCCAGAACTGGCTGCTTGCTACTGTTCAGCAGAAGCCACTCCACAAAAGCAAGTATGCTGTAGTGGTTAAAGTAAAAGACTGTGATCTGGGAGACTCAGGTTAAGAACATAAGAACATAAGAGACGCCATTGTTGGATCAGGCCAAAGGCCCATCCAGTCCAACACTCTGTGTCACACAGTGGCCAGAAATACCAGGTGCCATCAGGAGGTCCACCAGTGGGGCCGGGACATTAGAAGCCCTCCCACTGTTGACCCCCCCCCCCAAGCACCAAGAAGACAGAGCATCCCTTGCCCCAGAGCCCCTATCTATACCTTATAGCTAATAGCCACTGATGGACCTCTGCTCCATATGCTTATCTAATTCCCTTTTGAAGCCGTCCATGCTTGTAGCCGCCACCACTTCCTGTGGCAGTGAATTCCATGTGTTAATCACTCTTTGGGTGAAGAAGTACTTCCTTTTATCCGTTCTAACCCGACCGCTCTGCAGTTTCATGGAGTGCCCACGAGTTCTGGTATTGTGAGAAAGGGAGAAAAGTACCTCTTTCTCTACCTGCTCTATCCCATGCATAATCTTATAAACCGCAATCATGTCACCCCGCAGTCGTCGTTTCTCCAAGCTAGAGCCCTAAGCGCTTTAGCCTTTCCTCATGGGGAAAGTGTTCCAACCCTTTTATCATTCGAGTTGCCCTTTTCTGCACTTTTTCCAAAGCTATAATATCCTTTTTAAGGTGTGGTGACCAGAACTGCACACAGTATTCCAAATGAGGTCGCACCATTGATTTATATAGGGGGTTTTATTCTGCATCTTTAAACTTAGATCATCTAATCTGGCTAGTTCTAATATTTTATTTATCAGATCTTCCCTTGTAGGTAATCCTTCTGCCTTCCATAGTTTATCGGGCGCCCAGTGCCATCTGTGAAACATTCTAAACACATTTTCTTTGTATGCTATCGCTCTCATAGATTTGGCCATTTCCCACATATTTGCCCATTTCTCTTCCCCTGATTCTCCTATATCCCTCATCCAGGTGATCATTACAGATTTAATTTCTTCGTCCTGTTCAAAGTCCGTTAGTAAGAACTTATACAGCTTCTGGATTAGTTTGTCGTTTGAGGACAGCCATATTTTGTCTAATTCAAGAAAGATATGATAAGAGGTTTTGAGGACCAAAATAAATAACCTTCTTTATTGCAGTCGCACACTGTCTCGACATTTTCAGTGAGTTATCCACTACAACTCCAAGATCTCTCTCTTGATCAGTCTCTGCCAGTTCAGACCCCATCAATGTGTATTTATATTTAGGATTTTTGGCTCCAATGTGCATCACCTTGCACTTGGCCACATTGGACCCCATTTGCCACGTTGACGCCCACTCGCCCATCCTTGACAGATCCCTTTGGAGTGCCTCACAATCCTCACTGGTTTTCACCACCCTGAACAACTTTGTATCATCCGCAAATTTAGCCACTTCACTGCTTACTCCCAACTCCAAATAATTAATAAACAAGTTAAAAAGCAGTGGACTAAGTACTGATCCCTGTGGTACCCCACTGCTTACCTCCCTCCACTGAGAAAATTGCACTGAGGTTCAAATCACCACTCTTCCATGGAAGCTTATCGGGTGACCTTGGGTCAGTCTAACCCAGGGATGGCCAAACTGTGGCTCGGGAGCCACATGCGGCTCTTTCACACATATTCTGTGGCTCCCAGGGCAGCTGGGGAAGTGAAGGGGAGGCACGCCCTTCCCCAGTCTGTGTCCCCTTCCCTGGGTAGGCTTGAAGCGGGGGGGGGGGAGCAGAGAAAGAAAGCAACTTTAACTTTAAATGCGTTCTCAAAGCCTGCTCCCTGAGCCTACAAATATCATTGGACAAATAAATATAATTGTCAATATCTGTTTTTACCACCTTTGTTTTTATTTTTGGCCGTCTCATTTAATGTGAATAAAAAGCACATTTGCATATTTTTCAATGAAAAACATGTGTAACATCTGTTCATGTCTTGCGCCTCTCAAACATCTGACATTTATTCTATGTGGCTCTTACGTGAAGCAAGTTTGGCCACCCCGGTCTAACCTATCATACAAGGTTGTTGAGAGGATAAAAAAGAGCAGAGGGCAATGATGTCAGCTGCTTTGAGTCCCCATTGTGAAGAAAAACACAATATAAATGAAGGAAATACATTACAGATATAGCTGAAGATGGGGGAGCAATAAAAGGTAGTTTGGTGGGTGGGTGGGAAGGAGAGAAGGAAGCAGGGGAAAGCAAGGATAGGGGGTTGCCAGGTGGAAGGGAAAAAAGGAAATGGGAGAGGGAATAAAGGAAAAGGTGAGTGGCACAATGCAACTGAGCCATAGTTTCCCTAGATGGAGGTAGAAGGAGGGAAAGCTGCAGGGAGCACGTAAAGGTTGATTTGCTGGTGGGTAGGAAACAGAGAAGGAAGTAGGAAAACAGGAGAAGGTGTGAAGGCATTCAGGGAAGGGAAGGGAAGGGAAGGGAAGGGAAAGATGAAACAGTGGGGGAGGGGGAAATGAGATGCCCCCCCACAAGTCCTGCTTGTATATACGAATTGTTTGCTTAGGCAAGAGAATTAAGATCCATTTTAATAGAATTACCTGAAACATTTATCTGCTTGGTTTGCTAAGAAAGTTGAGTAGTTAAGTCTAATAATAAATCACAATGCATTAGCCAGAGTACATTCTACCTCAGGCAGACTCTAAAAACAGGCCTAGCTATATTTTTACTACCCTTGTGTCAACAAATGAGACCTTCAGGTTTTCATGTAACTGAGCACAGGATAATTATTAAACTGGGTACAGAAAAGAATGTTACAGAATTTGAATGGGCTGTAAGGTCCATGATCTGACTGAGCTTGCTTCACACGGTGAAGATTTATAGGGTTTCTCCCATGTGGATTCTTTGATGGAAAGTAAGGTTTGCACTCTGCCTGAAGTTCTTTCCACACACTGAACATTTATATGGTTTTTCCCCTGTGTGGATTCTTTGATGGCAAGTGAGGCTTGCTCTGTAACGGAAGTATTTCCCACACTCTGAGCACTGATACGGTTTCTCCCCTGTGTGGATTCTTTGATGGGAAGAAAGGTGTGCGCTCCTTTTGAAACGCTTTCGACAGATTGAGCATGCATATAGGGATTCCCCAGTATGGATTCTTTGATGGGAAGTAAGGCTTGTTTTGTAACTGAAGCGCTTTCCACACTCTGAGCACTGATGTGGTTTCTCCCCTGTGTGGATTCTTTGATGGGAAGCAAGGGCTATGCTGTGCTTGAAGTTTTTTCCACACTCAGGGCATTTATATGGTTTCTCCCTGGTATGGATTCTTTGATGGAAAGTAAGGTTTGCTCTGTAACGAAAGCATCTTCCACAATCTGAACACTGATATGGTTTCTCCCCTGTGTGGATTCTTCGATGTCTTGTCAGGCTGGCACTCTGAGCGAAACACTTTCCACACACTGAGCATGTATATGGTTTCTCTCCCGTGTGGATTCTTTGATGGGTTGAAAGGGTTATGCTGTGACCGAAGCTCTTTCCGCACTCAGGGCATTTATATGGTTTCTCCCCTGTATGGATCCTTTGATGGGAAGAAAGTCTTGTGCTGTGATTGAAGCTTTTCCCACAATCTGAGCATGTATATAGCTTCTCCCCTCTGTGTATTCTTTGATGGGAAGCAAGGCTCGAACGGTTCCTGAAGCTCCTTTCGCATTCTAAGCATTTATATGGTTTCTCCCCTGTGTGGATATTTTGATGGGAAAAAAGGCTAGCACTCTGTGTAAAGCTCTTTCCACACTCTGGGCACTGGTATGGTTTCACCTCTGAGTGGATTCTTTGATGGAAAATAAGGTTGGCACTCTGCCTGAAGCTCTTTCCACACTCTGAGCACTGATATGGTTTCTCTCCTGTGTGGATTCTTTGATGGGAAGTAAGGCCCCCACGCTGCCTGAAGCTCTTTCCACACTCTGAACACTGATATGGTTTCACTCCTGTATGGATTGTTTGATGGGAAGTAAGGTTCGATCTGTTCTTGAAAGCCTTTCCACAATCTGAGCATTTATATGGTTTCTCCCCTGTGTGGACCCTTTGATGTTGTATAAATTTGTCCTTTCTTCCAAAGCTCTTTCCACACTGTGAGCACGTGTGTGATTTCTCTTGCACGTGGAGCGTTTCCTGTAAAACAGGGGGTTTGACTCCCCTAAAGCTCATTGAATACTCTGAATCTTTTAACGGCTTTTCCTGATTTTCCATAGTCTCATGCAAGATAAAGCCTGGTTTCCCAGTTAAGATTTTGGCATACTGAGTGAAAACCATTTTTCCTTCACGACTTTCCTCTTGGACAGGGATTCCATGAAAATTAGCACTTTCAGAAGCAATGGATTTCTTCCTCCACTTTGGTTTTGCTTTGGTTTCCCTTTTCTGCTCTTCTCCCTCTCTCTCGCACGCCTGCCCTGTAAGAATGAATAAAAAAGAAACCAAGTGAGGGAGAAATTGAGCCTCCATCCAGAGAATAAACAGAGCTAACACCTAGAGTGAAAATCAGAGTGGAAAAGGCTAAGTGAGCAGATAAAACCTGTCATAACCAGGGGTCATTTCCTGCAGGAGCGCACAGGAGTGGAGCTCCAGCAGTAAAGAGCCCAGGGGGCGGGCACATGCAACAAGCCCCACCCCCTGCTCCCAGCAGCCCTCAGTCAGAGCAAGAAGCAGCCAGAAAAGGTGCAAAGCCCCCCCCCCCCAGCTCCCCGGTCCAAAACAATCCAGTAGCACCTTTAAGATCAAATTTTATTCAGGTACAAGCTCTCCCTCCTCTGTGAGGGCAGATCCGCACGTCCCCCCGCCTAATAGCTAGCAATACAAAAGAGTCCAGTGGAGCCTGAGCGGTGGGTGTTGCCTTCTGACACACTTCTCGTGATATCAGGGGGTGTGGCATATACAAATAAGTTATGCTAATGAGTTATGCTAATGAGCTCCTGCACCTCTTTTTTTATGAAATGACCCCTGGTCATAACACTCTTTTCACTGGTATTAAATGACCATCCAAGTGATGGAGAATATCGAGCAATGGACTTGGAGACCTTGGTTTAAATTTAGTGATAAAGGAATCGCCCTGCATGAAATTCTCAAGTTCAGTGTCCTCTCATCGCCTCTGCGATAATTCCAAAGTGCTTGAGGGTTTTGAAGGTCACTTCAGTTGTGGTCACACGCGCCAGCTGAAGCGGTGTGTGTGTGTGTGTGTGTGTGAAGCGAGGCTATTTCCTCCAGAGGAATTTGACACGCAGTTGCAAGATCACCCCTCTCTTGGAAACTGCGGGCGCAGCCCGTCAGTGTGTAATCAGACGCAACTGCGGGCGAGTCTCTTTTTTTTGCCATTTGTTCCCCATGCGCTTAAACGAGGAATCGAGGCATCGCACCTCCGCTCTGAGGGCTCCCTATGGAGTTTGCGATGGTGCACATACTGCGAAGGGGTGTGTGGAAACAACAGCACAGAGTCGGGACGGCCTGATCAGACCATCCCGATGGCACGAGCGTGCGCTGGAGCGACCACACAGGGGAAAGAATGTCTGTGGCCTGTCGCAACCTGTTTACGACCGGGTTTTCCCCAGTGTCTTTTAACTCCGCATCTGTGACTGGAGCAGCACGGGTTGCCAATGCCTGCGGAACGCTTCCCAGATGTTGCTGTCTGATCGCGCCCTTTAAATCCTCCCGGCCTTCGTGCCTATGTCAGGTCTATTTGTGCGTAGGATCGCAGCCTTCACGTCAACCATAGACAATACACAATTGGGTTCCAGATATTACTCAGATCTGATCGACCGAAGGGAAGGCCCAACAGATAGAGAAAAAGGAGGATGCCCGCTGCCTCGACTAAAAGCCTAGTGGATAAGTGAAGGTCAAAGAAACACGGACTAAACCCTGACCTGGATAGTCCGGGCAAGCCCGATCTCATCAGATCTCGGAAGCTAAGCAGGGCCAACCCAGGCAAGTACTTGGATGGGAGACCTCCAAGGAATACCAGGGCTCTGAGACACAGAGGCAGGCATATCAAGCCACTTCTCTGAAAAAGTCCGAGGGGTTGCCAGAAATCACCATGACTTCCAGGCACGCAAGCACACAGACACAAATACTAAAAAGACAAAAGCAAAAAAAGGAACATGGACTACTACATGTAGTAGTTACTTCTTCACCCAAAGAGTGATTAACACTTGGAATTCACTGCCACAGGAGGTGGTGGCAGCTACAAGCATGGAGGGCTTCAAGAGGGGATTGGATAAACATATGGAGCAGAGGTCCATCCATGGCTATTAGCCACAAGGTATGGATACGAACGGAGCTGCGGTGGCTCAAGTGGTTAAGACGCTGAACTGCAGGCTGTCGAAGGTCAGTAGTTCAGCAGTTCGAGACCCAGGTGCCGCATGACGGAGTGAGCTCCCGTCTCTAGTTCCAGCTCCTGCCAACCTAGCAGTTCGAAAGCAAGAAATTGCAAGTAGATAAATAGGTACCACTTCGGTGGGAAGGTAACAGTGCTCCGTGTGCCTTGGTGTTTAGTTATGCTGGCCACATGACCACGGAATCGTCTTCGGACAGCTCTGGCTCTTCGGCTTTGAAACGGAGATGAGCACCACAACCCTAGAGGCGGACTCGATTGGCTTTCGAGCAAGGGAGACCTTTACCTTTTTATAGATAGGAACTTCCTGACTGGGGCAAGTGATGCTCTGTATTCTTGATGCTTGGCGGGGGGGGGGGACAGTGGGAGGACTTCTAGTGTCCTGGCCCCACTGGTGGACCTCCTGACGGCACCTGGTCTTTTTGGCCACTGTGTGACAAGAGCGTTGGACTGGATGGGCCACTGGCCTGATCCAACACTGGCTTCTCTTATGTTCTTATGCACATCTGCTACTCATGTCCTCAGTGACCTCCCTGTCGGACACTGAGAGAGATGAAAACATCAGTTCCTGCTTTCTGCATAGACCAATGAAAGGCAAAGAGGGAGCCGTACCCAGAGAGGCCACATTCCTGCGATTCTCCGCCATGACTTGTCTGTGCAGGGCCCTCTGGCCTGGGTCTAACAGGGCCCACTCTTCCTGGGTGAAGTAGACAGACACCTCCTGTAGAGTCACCAGACCCTGAAAGAAAGATTTTTCCTCTTTACAGATAACGTCACAGTCCAAAAACACAGAGAAGCTGAGGTGGGTGGGAGTGTTCTCCTGAACACAGGAAGCTTCCGTCGACTGTCTCAGATCACTAAGCCGTCAGTGTCAGAACTGGCTGCTCAGACTGGCTGCGGCTCTCCTGGGGAGTCAAGTACAGAGCTTGAGAACAGCCATTCCCAGTGAGCCCTTCTGACAGAATTATCTTCCTGGACCCAGGAGATGGTCGGAAGACAGAGGGCCCTGGGGTGTCCCCCACGATTCCTTCCCTACCTGATCTGGCCGCTTGGCTTCCCGTCCACCACAAAGACCTGAAGGTCCAGGACCGCCTGCATGTGCCCGATCACCTGTGATAAAAGCAAAGGAGGTGAGAAGAGACTGATACTTCAAAGGCCATGCTGAGGGGGAACAAAATACAATCTATTGGCATCTCCTTTGACTCCCTGCTCACCATAGGCGAGTCTCAAATATTCAGAACTTTGAGGCAGAGGATTCTGGACACTGAAAAACAAACTCTCTTCCAGTATTACCTGCCCCCCTCTGAAGTTCAATGTAACACAGAGAAACGGGCTTACAGCGGCCTGTTTTTTACAGCGTACAGCCACATCATTGAGACAAGCATCTATGCTTGCGCGCTTCGATGCTTTACCATCTGCCGTCCTTTATGGTAAAAGGTAAAGGTAAAGGTTCCCTTGCTCGAAAGCCAGTCGAGTCCGACTCTAGGGTTGCAGTGCTCATCTCCGTTTCAAAGCCGAAGAGCCAGCGCTGTCCGTGGTCATGTGGCCGGCATGACTAAACACCAAGGCACATGGAACGCTGTTACCTTCCCACCGAAGTGGTCCCTATTTATCTACTTGCAATGTCTTGCTTTCGAACTGCTAGGTTGGCAGGAGCTGGAACCAGAGACGGGAGCTCACTCCGTCATGCGGCACACTCGGGTTTCGAACTGCTGAACTACCGACCTTCCACAGCCTGCAGTTCAGCGTCTTAACCACTTGAGCCACCGCAGCGCCTTCCTTTATGGTAGATCTGCAAATGTTCCCTACTCTGAAAGGACCTGTCTATGTAGTAGCAGGAAAACAGAATCAATTACACACATCTTGCTTAGTTGTGAATTCTATGGCAAAATATGGGATGACCTAATCAGCCCCCTTGTGATCAATGGACACAGTTGCCCAGAAGAGAGACCAGTATCTTTCCTTCAATTAGATCTCCGCCCTCATATTACCTTTCCAGCGGCGAGGATCCTCTCTGTTGCCATGAGGGCTGGAGAATATAAGGTTAAAGCTCTGGTGGGATGATTGTCTTTGGCCCGGTCACATGGGCCAGAAAACCCGGGGGGGGGAGGCATGGCTCTTTGCGCTGTCGCAATCTGATGCGCGATTAGGCGATCAGACTTGACGGCGGCACACGGGGGCTTCCACCGTCGGCGCACGCAGCAAAGAGGACGCCGGTGCGATCACACCCCAGGAGTCCGGAGGCAGCCCGTGGCAAACCATTTGCTGGTAGGCTGATCCTGGTTGGCCACGGGAGTGCTACGCCTCCCGGATGTTCCGGTGAGATCGCGCCCGGAAAATCCACCAGAGTATCGTGCCTTCAGTGGGGCAAATACTCCGTGTGACCGGGGCCTTTGTATATTTAAAAACTGTGGTTTATATGATGCTGGGTTTTTTTTCTTTTTCAATCTATGCCAATAAAGGTTTTGACTGACTGACTGACTGACTGACTACTTCAAAGGCCTGAGGCCAGTATATTCCAGAGACCCCTTTCTTAGGCATGTTGTTCTTCACTCCTTAAAGTCACCTAGAGATCCCTCCGATGGCTACATTAAGATCTCAGAAGGGGCAGACGCCTTACATCTCTGGAGCTACTGCCAGGAGGTCCAGAGTTTGCTGAAATCCCAAGGAAACAATATGCATGATCCAGGTTGGCTTTCAAGGAGATTTCTAATGAGGCATCAAACTTACAGAAAATGCAGGCCAAGCTCTCAACTGCTGGGCCTCGGGCACGCACGCACACACAGAGCGAGGGTTGCCAAAATCGGAGGCAACATAACTAAAACCATGCACCTTATACTCCTAAATGCTGGCTATGAGTAAAAAAATAAAAATCATGAATTAAGCTATTCCCAACACCATAGTTTCCTCTAAGCTGAGTTGGTGTGAGCTAGCTCACAAATTTTTAGCCTCCGGCTCACACATTTTTGTCTTAGCTCAGGAAGGATGGCTCCAAAGCAAACTGATTTATGCAGCAGACAAATTGCTCGCTCACAACTTTAATGCCAGTAGCTCACAAAGTAGAATTTTTGCTCACAAGACTCCACAGCTTAGAGGGCACATTGCCCAACACTAAGATGAGCCAGGCCATCCTGCCCCTGGAGTCCAGTGGTGGGAAAAGCAATTAAGTTGGCCTGGCACATTTTTGAAGATAAGGGCTGCTAACAAGCACAAGAGAGAGAGAAACATTCTCACGAGAGTGGTCGAACGCTGTCCTCTCACAGAACTCAGGCCAACGAAGCACCCAGCCTGTAACGAAGATGGAGTCACACAGGCTGTGTACCCTCCCCCACCTTGCCTGAGAGATTAGTTTCACACTCTGCCTACACCACCTCCGTCTCAGACTTGACACATTCGGAGGAGAAGTTGATCTCAAAGAATGCGCTTTCGAATGCTTGAAATCAGGGCTTATTGTCTGGGGGAACGCGCCAGAACGGAGTTCCGGAACCTCTTCGACAAATTTATTTTTAAAATGTTTAAAAGTTCGTGAGTTTTCAGTGTACAGATTGAAAACTTCATTTCCCTCATGAGAGTTCCGGCACCTCTTTTTCCCAAAAAAAAGAAGAAGCCCTGCTTGAAACTGTTCCTTACAAACCAGGCCCACGGCACTGCTGTTGGACGCCAGTCGTCCTCGGATTGGAAGCTGTCCTGTGTATTCCACAGAGCCATGTTCCACATCCCTTCACTGACTAGTCTGAGATCTCAGAACATGAACACACGAAGCTGCCTTATACGGAATCAGACCGTCTGTCCATCAAAGTCAGTATTGACTACTCAGACTGGCAGCAGCTCTCCGGGGGTCTCAGGTGGAGAGGTCTTTCCCAGCACCCACTACCTGATCCTTTTAACTGGGGATGTCGGGGATTGAATCTGGGACTTTCTGCATGCCAAGCAGGTGATCTGAACCACAGTCCCTCCCAACCCATGTGAAGAACTTCCCTCCCCTCATCCCTTCCGTCCTCAAGAGACGAGGCTTATGTCTTCCACAGACAGCTTCTGTCACAACCTGAAACATTTTTGCTGAGAGAGCCCAGTTTTCTCTCCCCCGGCTGTCCCATCTCTGTGTAAAGAAATCACTCATAGTTCGTCTAGACTGCCTAGCCCCATAGCTAAATGACTAAAGGTGAACAAGCTGAAATGGACTGCTGAAGCCCAGGTAGTGAAGGGCCGGGTATAAATCCAATCTTTCTCTAGGAAAAGTGAAAGGTACAACAGGAATCCTTACCCAACGCAGTGGCACCTCTGTCTTTCTCCCACGTGGTCCCCCACAAGAACGGCCTTTGCCTCAGGTCAGACGGCACCTTCTTTTTCTCAGGGAAATAAGAACATAAGAACATAAGAGACGCCAATGTTGGATCAGGCCAAAGGCCCATCCAGTCCAACACTCTGTGTCACACAGTGGCCAGAAATACCAGTGCCATCAGGAGGTCCAGCAGTGGGGCCAGGACATTAGAAGCCCTCCCACTGTTGACCCCCCCAAGCACCAAGAAGACAGAGCATCACTTGCCCCAGAGCCCCTAGCTATACCTTGTGGCTAATAGCCACTGATGGACCTCTGAGGAGAGATTGGATTTATACCCCGCCCTTCACTTCGAGTCTCAGAGCGGCTTACAAACTCCTTTCCCTTCCCCTCCCCACAACAGACACCCTGTGAGTGTTTTTCAAGAACAGCTCTTTCAGAACTATGGATTACCCAAGGTCATCCAGCAGCTGCAGGTGGAGGAGTGGGGAATCAAACCCAGTTCCCCCAGATTAGAGTTCATGCACTTAACCACAACACCAAACTGGAAGAGGGCAGGCAGACACTTGGGAAGGGACGGGAAAGAGGAGGTTTCTAGGCTGGCTTCCTAAAAAGTACAGCATTTGGGAAGGGAGGATTTTTAGTGTAGGCTTTTCCATATTCTCCTCTTTAGAGGTCTCAGGATGAATCCCGCTCACCTGCTGGTCCTGATTCCTGTCCTCTGCCTGGCTGAGGAGGAAGCCTTCTGCCAGGGCCACCGCCTGGGAACTGGTCTCCGGCCCGCACTCCCTCACCCAGCTCTCCATCTCCGGGGGCAGGACAGCCAGGAACTGCTCCAGGATCACCAGGTCCAGCATCTCCCTCTTGCTGCGCCTCTCCGGCTTCAGCCACTGGCGGCAAAGACGGTGGAGTCGGCTGCAGACCTCCCGGGGCCCCTCCGCCTCCTGGTAGCCGAACTGCCTGAACAGCTGGCGCTGCACATCTGAACTTGTGGTGTCTCCACCCACTATCTTTTGGCCAGAGCTGTCTCTGAATTCCCCTCCGCTCCCAGCCTGGATGGCTTCAGGGCCTAGTTCCGCTTCAGGCTCAGCTGAGTTTAGCCTTCCCATCTTGGGCTCTGAGCCAAGAACACGGAGAGATCTTCTTTGCTCTGCCAAAAAATTCCTTTCTGAAGGCCACAACTGGCAAAAGAGGTGAGGCTCCAGAGTCCTGAGAAACCAAGAAGATGCTGTGTTAGCAAAGGGAAGAGAGCAAGAGAACTACCATGTTCTTGAAGGCCACAAATCATTACCAGTAATACGGTGAGTGGAAAAGGTCTCCCCCGTCCCCAAATCTTCTTCCCATCAATCGAACTGGGAGACTAAGTTCTAGAAATATGGAAAGCGCTGCTTATTAATGCTTTATTAAACCTAGAGATGTGAAGGCCCGGGAAAAAAACGTTTTTTCCCTGTTTTTTTTCCTGAAGCTTTTTTTGTTTTTTTCCGAAAAATTGGAAAAATTGAAAAAAGAAAAGAAAAAAAAATTGATTATGGAACGTTTTATTTTAACATGATGAATAAAATATTTTAAAACAAGGTGTTCAAATATTTTCCAAATAATTTCAAATATATATATGGTATCAGATTGATCTAATTTCTCTGCACTGGGAACAAGCAAGTCCTAGGTTACAAACTGAACTCTCCAATGCAAGAACAAGATGCATTTCTTCCTTTAGGAGGTGCTATTGTCAGAAGAAAATTAAAAGGTTTCAGTTTTGTTTTTGCATGTGGGTGGGTATTCTGTTTGTAATAATTGTTTGGGTACACTATATTTTTAATATGCTAGTTGTGATAATTTCATGCCAAGTAAAAATGTCCATAGTCATATTTTGTTTCTAAAGTAACAAAATGACTTTCGCTCTAGAAAAGACAAAAGAAATGCTAATGTAGCATTTTTTCAATTTTTCCGAAAATTTCCATTTCCCCCCCAAAAAAACTGGGAAAAAAACTGGTTTTTTTCTGAGCTTCAAAATTTCCGGAAATTTTACATCTCTAATTAAACCTCTTTACGGTCTAACTACTTAAAAGATCCTCTTTTCCCTACTCAGCCAAGGGAAAGAATCAGGGCATATTCAGCTATGGCTCCCTGGGTCATGAATTCCCCCTCCCTAACAATCCAGCTTCTGACAGGGCTTTTATTTGGGGGGGGGCACCACATCAAAACAGGTCCCGATTTATCAGTCTTATAACCCAAATATTTTAGCATCTTTTACAAAAGGTTTCACACTTTTTTTTTTCCATTAGTGTGGCTGCCAGAACGATTTTTCATTACGGGATGCTAGATTTATTGTGACATTTCAGTACTTCTCGATAATTTTGTGTCACAAGTAAACTCTACATTCACATAAGACTGTACGACTGTTGTGACTGTACGAGACGGTTTTCCATACCAAATAATATTCCCTTTTGCTTCTTTTAAATGACTACAAAATTTGTTCTGTTTTCCACTTCTATCTCTCTACCAAGAAAACAGTGAATACACCTGATATTTGCATCTTAGTGTTAGCCAGGGGTCATTTCCTGCAGGAGCGGACCTTCGGCAGTAAAGAGCCCAGGGGGCGGGCACACGCAACAAGCCCCACCCCCCCCTCCCCCCGGCCCTCAGC